GTGGTGGGGCGGGGGGGGGGCACAAGCAGCCCCTTGCAGGCTGCAACTCCGCCAGTGTGCGCAAGGGGAAAGCCGCGGTTCCCACCTTTTATCCTGTAAAGCAGAATCCATTTTTCAAGTTTGTTCCCGACCCTTTCATATATTGAAAGTGCAATATATTTCACTTTCATATATTGAAAGTGCAACCCACTTTTGGGCTGGGACCCACGGGCTAAGGAAGGAGCGCTGGATTAAGAAGCCTGTTCTCTGCCCCAGCCACTTCCTGCCCCCTGGAAGCAGCTAGGTGCAGTCATTTGTTTCCCGTGCTCAGAAATAATTTCCAATGAGATTTCTTTGATTCTTTCGATTTCCTCCCGAACTTTACCAGGGCCACGACTCCTGCCAACCCCCCACACCCTGCCAAGACCAGGCTACTTTCCCCGCTCTGCCCTCGCCGCCTGCTGCATCCGGTCCTGCTGCCCAGCGTGTCCCGCGCCTGTGCAACCTGCTGCACGAGGATGAGGAGACGGCTGCGCAGCCGGGTCCTTCCCGGGGAGAGCGGGGGCTGGGCGGCTGCAGGGTGCGCGGAGTGCCCTGCACTTGGGAGATCGCAGCAGGTTGAGGCCAGATGGGCAGACTGTACTCTGTGATAAGGACCTTGTTTGGTGGTGATGTCAGGGCAGGAAGTGACATCCAGCGCATTGTACACCATGTGGCTGTGAATCTAACCGCTTACATTTCTCCTGCACGTCAGCAAGAGGAAGGGAGAAGCAGGAAGAGAGCCGGCTGGGAATCGTCAAAACAAGCTGCTGGCCACAAGCAGAGACAAAGGGGGCAGGAGAAAGCAGCCGGCTGGGATGAGGAGAGAGAGACACAGCCAGACTCAGAATGCGGCTCCTGACCTAGACAGCTGTACAGGGCAAGGGTGGGACTAAGGCTGCTGCATTGGCTGTGCCTCCGGAGGTGGGGAAGGGGCACTCCGACGTGCCAATTGAAATATTGTGATCTGATATTGATCCCTGGAATACATGCTGTGTCCCTTTTGATGTGTATCTACCTGCATTTATCTTCTCTCCTTGGCTGGGTGTAAAACGTTTGCCAAGCTGTAGACCGCCCCGAGAGCTCCTTGTGCTCGTGGGATACCCAGAGCTGTGGGGTCTTTGATATTTAACAAGAAGTGGGCTTGGGCTTGGCCATGGCAGTGAATGACTGAGAGCTGAGGAGGGGGCTGTCTGTCCCGTGAAGTCCCCATAGCACTGCTCCCCCTCACCCCGCACCGTGCTGGCATCCCCAGGCTGAGGGCCTGGCCCAGTGCTAAGGGCAGGGCAGTGTCCTCAGCTCTGCTGGCTCTAGCACAGAGTCCTGCCCACAAGCATGGGCCTGTGGACTCTGGGAATGGAGAAGGCTCTTGAATTAGGGTGAAGGCACTGCCTGCTGATGCCTGAATCCAATGGCTTGCTCACAAGAGACAGCACCTTGCTTAGGCACCACTTGTTCCCCAACTCCCAGCTTATTCAGGTCTCCCCCACCTTGCACACACAGACACCCTCATCCCAACCCCAGGTGGGTAATGGTGCTGGGGCTGGCACTAAAGGCTCTCGGCGCTTTATTTGTATAATATTGTAGTTCTTGGGGTAGGGTGCCCCTAGGAGCAGGTCAGCTGGCTGGCCTCGTCCATGGTGCTGCGTGGGTGCATGCGGCGCCGGCGGAGGCGCTGGATGCTGGCATCCACATCGAAGCCCATCTGCTTGTCATGGATGGAGGAGCGCAGGTGCTCCTTGGTGTGCTGCATGCGCTCCACATTCCTGGCCGCGTTCTGCATGGAGGACTCCAGCAGTGTGCTGCCCTGTGGTAGAGGACAGGGTGGGTACCATTGAGTGGGGCCTCACTGGTCCCTTCCTTGCTGCTGTCACTTCCCAGCTCAACGCCCCCCCCCCCACTCTTCAACAGCATCATCCTCTGCAGCTGTTACAGCCTGATGAGGCATTGCTGCCCCCAAGACCCCAGTATGCCATCAACACCCGTCTCAGCTGGGCAAAGTCCCACCCACCCAGCAACAGTGTCACTTCAGTCATTACCACCAGGTGAGGCATTGCGTCTGGCAGCCTCATAATCCATCACAGATCACAGGCAGGCCAGGTGCAAAAGCCTAGTAACACCATAACCTCCTACAGCTACCATATTTGGACAGCATTACTGCCTACAGCCACCACAGTGGGTAAGCTGCTCCCAGTCTATCTGCCCCATTGCCCCCTACAGCTTTCCAAACTGGATGAGATAACCCTGTGCCTGGCAACATCTTCCCCTGACTGCCATTAGAGTGTGGGTACCTGTGTGAGGATGTTGGCCTCTGGCAGCTGGGTGCCCACGTGTCGCTGATACACTCGCACTATGGGCCGAGTCAGCTTCTCTCGCGTCTCTTGGTACTTGCTGGACTCAGGGCCCTGAAACCCAGAGCCACAGCAGGTCAGAGTTGGGGGAGCCCCACAGCCAAGGAATCCCCTCCCACTAAAGGCACATACTTCAGCCTCCCCAGTTGGGTCCCCCTTTCCCCAGCCCTTTCCCCTAGCGGGTGCCACCCCATAGGCCAGCTGGTATCTCTACCCCAGGTGCTCCATCACTGCCCTCCAGCTGGTACTCCCTCCCCTCCACTTCTCTGCAGTCCCTCTCTGGCTATGGAGCCCTTTTCCCATCACACCTCCTGTCTGCTCATCTCTCCTCCCACCTGCCCCTCCTCTCCCTTCTTCTCTGCTCCCAAACCCTCTCCTGCCCCTGCGCACCATGGTCATGCCATGGGTGATGCTCATCTCATCGTGGAAGCGCTGACAGCGATTCAAGGTGCTGCGCATGCCCCCCATCACCATATAGAGACGCTCCTGCCAGGGGAGAAGCAGAGACACACAAGTAGTTAGGGATCAGCCTAGATCTACACAGGAATAGGTCCCCGTCCCACCCCCTTCCTCTCCAAGCACTGAGTTTGAATTAGAGGTGCTGCCCCTTTGAGAGGGAAGGGGACATGGAAGTCATCCTTTGGGACACCCTCCCCTGCCCCCACAATGGTTGGGATCCTTGGGAGAAGGCAAGGTGGGAATCAGGAGAAGAAGGCAGGGTCCCTTGGGGGGCAACACATGAAGATGGGCTGTTGTGGAGTGACTGGAGTGTATGGGGAGAGGGAACAAAGTGTGTGTGAGGGCCAGGGCCCTAGGGAGACGGCCTGTGGGGAAGAGGGTTCTGCAAAAAGGCTGGCACACGTCGGGTAGCATCCCATTAGGGTTGTTGTGGTGGGCAGGGTTCCCCAGAGGGTAGCATGTAAAGCAGTTTCCCATGAGGGTCAGGTTCCTGTGGGGGGTTGCAATGTCCTGTGTGGGGCCAGTCCTCTCCCCTAAGTTACCTTGAGGGCCATAGTCTCATTCATCTTACGCTGCAGGCTGCCGTCAATGGCTGCCTGGGCTTCTCGGAGAGTGGCTGTGGCCTGGACCGTGTCCTCTTTCAGCACTGTCAGCACCTTCTTGGATTGCACTGTGAGGCGCCGTGCCTCCTCGATAGCTGCAGCACACTCTGGGGTGTGGGATGCCCGTGTCAGGACTGGTCCCAGTGGGTGGGAGATCCCCACTATGTATTCCCCTCACACAGAGGGGAGATGCCACCCATGTTATAGACCCTCAGGGCAGAGATATCCTCTACTATGAATAGTCCCCCAATCTGTACTTTGTGGAGATGCCACAAGGCACAGCACCCCCACCATGGGGATGGGGGAAGGCACAGCCCACACTCTGTGTATCCTTCCCATTGTAGCCAGCACCATGGGCCAAGGGAGCACGGGAATAATGGGAGGGATGTAGCTTGAGTGCCATTTTCCTGGGGAGCCCATTGGCAGCCATGGACTCAACAAGTTGGGACAGGCAACTGGGTGACAGTTGATGGAGGAGTATGGGGAGAGAAGAGAGGGTGCTGAGGGGGTCATGGGGTTCATGTTCCTGGTTGGTAGAGAGGGCGTCCCTGGGGAGACATCTGTGAAGGAGAGATGGATCTCTGGGAAGGGCAGAAAATGGGGTCCTAGTGGAGGCTGGAAGCATCTGAGGAAAGCTATAAGGGGGTTTCTGGGGGGCTGAGGCAATCCCAGGGGTTGAAGGGATCTCTGTGGGGCTGGTGATGGTGTCTCTTTGGGGATGGTGACAGGGTCCCTGGCAGAGGTGAGAGAGGGTGGCCCGAGGAGGCAGGGGTGTCTACTGGATTCAGTGATCGGGGCACAGGCTCTCTCCTAGATGGCCTCATCCCTTACCTGGTGTGTAGGGCCCTATGGGGTTGGGCTCCGGCGTGGGGTTCCTATCCACATTGGGGGACGAGGGCCGGGTCAGGCTGAGCCACGAGTCACGCCCAGACTCCAGTAGCACCCTGTGCAGTGGCTGCCCCATCAGCTCCAGCACGCAGCCCCGTTCCTCACAGAGCTCCCCCAGGGAGCGCTGGCACTTGTCCAGTGCCTGCCGGATCGACAGTCAAATGGATGGGTCAGCGCCTGTTCTGACACCCCTTATACTCACAGCCCCCAGGGCACCTGTACCTCCCACTGCCTGCTGGACTGGTGGCTTGGTGCCCACTGTGTTACCCTCACATGCTGTGGTCCAGAGAGCACCAGTGCCACACAGCAGCTGCTGCACAGATAGATGGGCTTGTCAGCACTTGCCATGACACCCCTTACACACATGGTGATCTATGGAGTACCAGTATTGCCCAGCACTTGCTGGGCAAGCAGACAGATGGACAGACAGACAAGTCAGGGTCCCCCATGACACCTCTCACACACTCCCAGAGTCCCAGAGTTAAAGACATTCCTTGGTGTCAGGTATCCAGGTTGTAGCTGTATTGGTTTAGAGGCCAAAGGAAATTCCTGCCCAGAAGAGCTGTCCATCTTTCCACTCTTACGTGAAATATGAAACATCATAACCTGAAGGAAATATGCTTCTACATCCTGTTTACCATCAGACAACTTTGAGGTTTTCAACCTTTCTCTGTGGCGAACCTGGACAAAATGAACTATTCCAAACAGGAGATTTTACCACACCTTCAGCTGTCCTGTGAATTATGAATTTTTGTTTCTACCTAGGAGAACTTTTACAATCTCTGCTCTCTCCTATGCCTGATGAAGGGTATGTGCGCCTGAAAGCTTGCAAATAAATAAAATAGTTTGTTTGCAAATATCTAGTTGGCTTACTAAAAGATACCATGAGTTTTGATTCCTTGGTGTGAAATTCCCTGCTTGGAGCCATTCCTAGAATGGCCTCATATCAGTTTTCCCTGTCTTTTAACCTGTCACCTTGGGCAAAGGAGCAAAGGGGGCTGTATACATTTAAAGCTCTTTGAAAACTTGTTCCCTACAAAGGACTCCTTATTTTACCTCATTCCCCCTGTAACAGAGCACAGGGGTGTAAGCAGCCAGCAAAGCAGGCTGCAGGTGGCTGCACTTCCAATCAGACCCAATTACCTAATTGGGAACAGGGACCAGCTGTTCATTATAAGAGCAGGGCCCCGAGCAGTATAGCCAGCAGTCTGCTGCAAACACTTGGGAGAAGAACACCACCCAGCTAGAGCTACTGCTCAGATCATCTTGGTAGTAAGGGTAGGAGCTGTGGGGATGGCAGGAGGGTCCTGGTGCTGGGGCTGGGGCTGGGGCTGGATGGTGTGGTGGCAAGGCAGTCTCCAGAACACACCACACCTGTGCCTCCTCAGTGAAGGTTGAGTATGGGGCGCCAGAAAGCCTCAGCCCTCCCTGCCTTGAGGGTAACTCTGTGGAGGGGAAAGGCTAGGAGAGCACACCCCAAAGTCAAAGCGGGAACCCAGGCTCACTGTGAACTCTGAGGCTCCATTAAGGAGATGGGTGTGGGGCTCCAGGGAGGTGGAGCCCTAAGCTGAAAGAGCTAGATGTAAGGCTCCTCAGGCAAGGGGATAAGGGGATTTGTGAGGTCCAGTGTAGGACAGGGGGTGAGGCCCCAGTGTAGGGTATGAGGGGACTGAGAAGGTCCTGAGCCAGGCACAGTGCCCGAGGTGGTAGGAGCTGGGAGCCTTGAGTAGGTGGGGGCTGGGAGCCCTGACTGATTGAATGAGAGTGCAGAGATGGTGAGCTCCAGTGGGGAGTAAGAGTCCCGTGTGAGACTCTGGCATGCGGGTCCCAGTGTGAGAGCATAGGCTTATAGGCCAGGTGAGGCCAAACAAGTTAAGGCTGGGTGTTAGGCCACGGATGCCATCTGCAAGGCATGAGACATGGTATAGGGTAGGTCAGCCATGTATGTAAGCCCCTGACATCAGGGCAAGTAAATGGGTAGCCTCCTGCCTAGTTTATCATCATTTAATTGTATCATGGTGGCAGGCAAAGTAGGTGGGCAGTTAGCCCTGAGACAAGTGGGTGGGTCAATGACTTGACCAGCCCCGGGATGCTCACTTGTTACATCCCCCAGCCTGTCACCGTGTCATGGTGGGACTACATTGCTGCATCTCCAAGCAGATGCTAGTCTAGTCTGATCGCTGCAACAGAGCCCCTGACAAAGCTGTGGTTTCTGAGCATATGTTTAATATACCAGTGAAATATACTGTGAATTGTATATGATGTGGCTTTAAATCTGTAACCGCCTACATTTCCCATCAGCATCAGTGAGAAAAAGGAATTTACAAGCAAGGAGTGAGTGGGCGTGGAGTAAGCTAAGGAAGAGGGCTGGCGGGGAATGGAGACAAAGAAGCCAAGCAAGCAGCTGGAAGGAGAGAGAGGAAGATATGCAGCCAGATTCAGGACTAAAACCGTGGTTCCTGACTGGGAGACCTGTACCAAGGAACTGTGGGACTAAGGCTGGTTTGTAGGGTACACCTCCAAAGGTGGAATAAGAACTTAAGGTGTTAAATGTGTGCATTTGCAGGATCATTATTAGCCTTGCTAGTAATACTGTCACTATTGCAATACTGTGATGATGTGATACTACATATTGATCTGGTCTTGTTCTTTAGTTTTGGCCCATTGTCCTGTGAACCACGACCCTACATACGAAGTTGGAAACCCCAAGTGGCTCATCCTGTGTTCTTGGGTACATTTTGACTTGGGGTACACGACACCAAGGTGACTGCACAAGCGGAAAGCTGTAATTATGTGGCTCTGATAGGCTGTAGTTCAGCTTGATGATATGTACTTGGCATGTAAAGTGGTAATAAAAAATCTAACAATACAATAATCACTGGCAAACTAAAAAAACGGTGCTGTGAAGAAGAGGAGGGCTTATTATTTAAAACAGCTCACTAATACAGTGGGGTTCCTAGTGGAAACTGCAATGGGTAAAAGCCCAGTGCATGGTGTTAGCACATCAACAAAACCACAGATGGCGTATCAGGGCACTGTAATTGGAACATTTAAAATGGGTGTGGCTGTCCTGCAGGAGAACCCCAAATCAAAAAGGTTGGTTGCTGTAAAAGCCAGGCAATAACCTTCAATGAAATGCAGGAAAACTGGCATGCTATGGACACAGACAGAGTTGACATTTTTTTTGTATGATCTGGCCCCTGAACATGCTTTGTGCATGTGTTATGCCACAGCTGTATCTGTAGAGCACTTTAAAAATGTTCCAGTGCAAAAAATTAACCCTTGTTAAATCAGGTAGTAAGTGTAGTGCTTTAAATTAGAGTGCCTTAGAAGTTCCCTGAGAGGGTTAAGGGTTGTGCCCCTGGTCTGCCACAGGGAGGAGGCAGACAGTTCAAGGAGATGCGTGCCCCCCCCCCCCCCCCCCAACGCGGGCGCC